CTTGTTTATTTTAACAAATTTTCTTACTTTGCATGTGACTTAAACAATGTGTGTGTTTATCTTCATTATTAATTACCAAAATTGTTCATTAGGGTATGACCAGATACCAATAGACATGCAAGGGCTTGACATCGGGTCACCTGGGGGAGGCAATGGTTCAACCTATAGTGCCATAGACGCAATGGAGGTCGGTAGTGCAGAGCCCGATTTAAATTTCGACCCCATGAACGAACTTCCTAATCCACCCCAGGATAACAACCAGGTTGCAGCTTGGTATGACACCGATTTGTAGAATGTGTGTTTTGATCATTCTCATTCATTACCCATCAAATAAACCTTTACACCTCTAGACTATTTTTATTTTATGTTACACAATACGGATTGTATGGATTGTATCCTATTTATTTCATTTTTTGTGCAATTATTTAAACGTTGGAAGTTTTCAAGGGTTCTTGAAGAACGAGCGATTTATCCCTCAACAATTTTATAATCGCAAATATTGTATGATGTAATCAGTATTTTTAGTCTTTACAAATAAGTAAAGTGTATTTGTTATTTTGTAATTGTGTACCAATATCTTTTCTAATTATTCTTATTGCCTTTTTATTGTCATTTATATAATATTTGTTGTAATTTAAGATTATTTTGCATGCTGCTCCTTTTTTCTACTTAAAATATTACAGGGTAGCTAAAAGATCATGATATCTTCATTGTATGTCTTTCTAATATAGAAATATGTAATATTTATGAAATGTTGTGTTTTTTTTACCCTTGAGTTCCTCAGTAATTCAAAATAAGTGATAAACTTAAAATATTTGAAGCAGTCAAGGTAAGTTCCATAATTTCCGTTTCTAGCAATTTTTTGCAATATTTAATGATACAAATTTCCGAAAAATAATTGATATATAACGTTTTCTTAATATATTAAGAAAATCTTGTTAATTGTAAATATAGTTTGAAGAAAGGACTACATTTATTTTTATAGAGCACCAACATTACTCTCAAGTCAACATGTTGCGGAAATCCAAATTTATACACTTTTTATGTACAATATAATAGTTATAATTTAAATTTAATCTAGCAAATAGTAAATATATTTTTCCCTCTTTTTCAATTAATGTTTATTTCTTTTTGTACACTTAAATTAGGTACTTCAGGAATATACAAAACATCTCAAAGGGTAATGTTTTAAATGTAGTATAAATAACATTTCCAAACATTTTTTGTTTTTTGGTATTAAACAACGTACTTTTTGATTTTTTTATGCTCAAAGAAAGCCCCTACATAGCTTAAATTATAGCTTGAAGCGCAATACCTATATTTATATTTAGTACCTTACTACAAAATCTGTTTTAAATTACATGATAAAGCTAAAATGTCTAATTCAGTTTCAATTCTTGTATAAACAGTAAATGTAGCTAACATGTTACATATAAAAGTTTCACATTTGCCATTCTTTCGAACTTCATAAAAACTTAAACAGTTGTTGCCTAATAATATAAGTTGAAGTAATTCACGTAAGTGCAACGAAAGTGAAAAAAATTTTCAGTGTGTTCCCTTTGAAATAACGGAGAGCTGTCGTAACTATTTAAAAGTTAATGATTACCTAGTTTCCTTGAAACTGAGCTTGTAAAATAATTAACTTTTTTAGTTACATACAACCAACCAATAAAGCGTCCCAAAATTATATTTAAAACTTTTCAGTGTTCTGTAGCCCAAAGTATCAATTTCTTTTCGAATTTTAGGTCATTATTAATTTACTTAAAGTTGATTTTACATAATTATGATAAAAGATCAATTTCAAACTGAATATGAAAGGAACTTTCGAAAATATTGAAAAATAAATGAGACTTAATAAATGATTTTGTTTAGATTCTGTAAATTTTTTGGCTACAGTCATTACATGGTTACACTTAGTATTATTGATCGATAAAAACAATAAATTAAAAGTATCCTAAATCTTCTTTTCGTTACAAAGTAAGCTGCAATGTTTTTTGTAATGTGAACCAAAATTTTTTTTGTTTTTTTATGCATCACCGCTCACGATGGTACCTACATGGGGTCGAAAATTTACCAGACTGTGAAAGAGCATTTTCTTCTGTAAAACATGTGCATGTATAATAATGCTAATTAAACTGAATAATTAACTGTACATGTACAGGCAGCAGAGAAACAACCAACATTAAAATTCATTGATTTATATATCCACATATTTATTACTATATTTATTGCAAAGAAACAAATCAACGGTGTTCTTTTTTTTATATGAAAGTGTAGTAAGTACGCATTGTAGAACAAATTTCATTTAATGGAGTAATTGGATTTTTTATATCTTACTGTATATTTCCTGTACATATTTTACGCGTTGTTAACATATTTTGTTGGGCTACCGTAATTCGCTAATGACCGTAAAAAATTCTAAACTCGAAATAATTAACATCAGTAATTAGTTTATTATTAGTTACCCTTTTTGGATCAAATTGCAAAACAGATACGTTAATTTCGTTTCCGAAGTTTTTATAAGGCATTTGGAAACAGAAAATAAATTTTAAATGACCATATAGTGATATGGTATACATGACCACTATTTCAATTAGAATTTTTTTAAATATATATAGACATTAAAATGTTTTCTTTTTCTAATAGACGTATTACTGTATTATTTTCTTTTTAGTCGTATGTTTGCTTCTTCTTATCCGCATCCCAATTAATACTATGTAACGCTTTAACTACTTAACTCATTATGGTGAAATTTTGTAAATACATTGCCAGGGGTACAGAAAAGGACATAGAGTACTTTTTATAAAGAAAAAATACTATTCCCGAGGGGTAGAAAAAAATTAGCTTTATGTAGTCGTCGATGATCTTTAACACGCATTTAAGATATCAACACAAGCGAAGCCGCGGGTAAAACCCGTCACGAAATTTTGAACATACTTTGTCAGGGGTACAGAAAGGACACAGGGTACCATTTATTCAGAAAAAATACTGTTCCTGAAAAAATTAGGTGGTCGTCAATGATTTTTGTCGCGCATTTAGAACATTAACGCGAGCGAAACCGCTGGTGAAAACCTAGTAATTTACAATTCAATTAAGGTTTTTTTTATTCAGAATGGCAGGAATGTATTTTGAAAACCCCCACATTATTTTAAAGTAACTATTTACTTTTTAATTAAAAATCCGTACAAAAAAGTTCGAAAACACAGAATTTTCAGCCAGGTATCGTTTTGGAGCAAAAAAATTGTTCTGCGAATAGCCAACGACGATTAAAAGAACTTCTTCGAGTGTTGTGTTTTGTTTATGATTCCTCGAGGGCTAATAACCGAAAGTGTCCGGAGTAGGGTCAACGTTTTCGAAATTAATGTCGAACTGCAGAAGCGAAGAAAGAGTAAATTGTAGGTAGGTATTTTATATACACATACAGAGGTAAACCGCCGACTTGACCAGGTGAAAGAAACGCTCACTTCACACAGATCGTAGCTTGTGATACCTGAGAGTCGGTTCTTATCTTTCGCTGCGAACTAACGGCGCAAAGTATTTTTTTTTTGCTACTCGGTTGTGGCGGTAAAAACTAGTAGGCGCCGCGACGCGTCGTATTCAGTGGTAAAAACTTTTATGAAGTGTTTTTTAGTACGAAGTTAATTTGTTAGTTATTATCCAGTGACATTAATGTGTATTGACATTTGAAACTGTTTTGAAAGTGGATTAGATTATAGCACCAAGGTAATTGTTCAAAATATATCTAGTAATAAAAATATAGATAAATCGATACCTGTTGTACNTCTCTATGTATAAGAAATTTTTCAACTTATTATATACAAAATTTTTCAAATGCACATTTTCAACGCTAGGTGGCACTCATTGCTATACACTGTTTTGCTTGTTGAAACATACACAGATAATCAGACATATTAAATCTGCCTTTGTGTAAACGGGTGCGGTGTTACTTTAGTTTAGTTGCCAGAAAAATTAAATACTACAGAAAAAGCTCATTTTGTGGTGAAAGGTAAGAAATATTACAATAAATAAACTTTGGTGTTAACTTTGATGTTATTACTTTAACTATTTCATAGATTTTAAAGGAATACTTCCCATGTATTGTCATTTTAATGATTAATGCACAACATGGTGGCCACTTCAGATTAAAATAGCGTCTTTATAGGCATTCTGTTTTCTGTTTTTAGAAATTATTTTACCCAAGCAAATCTGTAATTCATTAAAAGCAAACACGATTGTACCATTTTGTTGTATTTAACTAGTTGAAAATATTAATTGATTTCTTGCTATAAAGTACCCATTAGGTGAATCATTTACATGAATATATTTTACAGGTGTGATAATTCACCATTTCACCATGAGCTACATGCAAACCAATCAAAATAGAATCAGTAAGTAATGTTTTTTCTTATTGTCTGCTTAAAGGAAATGTCCACTTTTCAATTCATGTCATATACATATGTGTTTGATAATGCTTGTATAATAGCCAATTTTGTTTACAGTGTCACACAGTAATTATCAAAGTGGTCCTGGTGACTTACCAATGGGGTCTGCCAAGGAGCAAACACTTATGTGGCAACAAAATTCGTATATGGCGGATTCAGGTATTCATTCTGGAGCTGCTACGCAAGCACCATCCTTGAGTGGTAAAGATGATGAAGAAATGGATCTGTTTGACCTGGACCAAGGATTTCCTCCTCAATTTACTCAAGAGCAGGTTGATGGTAAGTATTGAATATATCAAAAGTATTTATAATTGTCATTGAATTAACAGAATAATATAATAACATGATTTTCAGAAATGAACAATCAACTGAATCAAACAAGATCTCAGAGGGTGCGAGCTGCAATGTTTCCTGAAACTCTCGAGGAAGGAATTGAAATTCCTTCGACTCAGTTTGATCCTCAGCATCAGACAGCTGTGCAGCGTTTAGCAGAACCCAGTCAGATGCTTAAACATGCAGTTGTTAATCTTATAAATTATCAGGATGATGCTGACTTAGCAACTAGAGCTATTCCAGAATTGATTAAGCTTTTGAATGACGAAGATCAGGTTGTTGTCTCTCAAGCAGCTATGATGGTACATCAGTTGTCAAAGAAAGAAGCTTCAAGACATGCTATAATGAATAGTCCCCAAATGGTTGCTGCTTTGGTTAGAGCTATTTCCAACTCTAATGATTTAGAAACCACCAAAGGAGCAGTTGGTACTTTGCATAAATTATCACATCATCGTCAAGGGCTGTTGGCTATCTTTAAAAGTGGTGGCATACCAGCTTTAGTTAAGCTTCTTAGTTCACCAGTTGAAAGTGTTCTATTTTATGCCATCACAACTTTACACAATCTTTTGTTGCATCAAGATGGTTCAAAAATGGCTGTGAGACTGGCTGGTGGTCTACAGAAAATGGTTGCACTTCTACAGAGAAATAATGTTAAATTCCTTACAATTGTGGCTGATTGCTTGCAAATTTTGGCTTATGGAAACCAAGAGAGCAAGTTGATTATTCTGGCATCACAAGGCCCAATTGAATTGGTGAGGATAATGCGATCCTATGATTATGAAAAGTTGTTGTGGACCACATCCAGAGTTTTGAAGGTAATTATAGAAGAATATTTTCTAATTCCTGCAGATTAGTTTTTAAAGTTTTACTTAATGTTTTATTTATTTCTTTAGGTTTTGTCTGTTTGCTCAAGCAACAAACCTGCCATTGTTGAAGCAGGTGGAATGCAAGCACTTGCTATGCACCTGGGAAACCCCAGTCAACGCTTAGTTCAAAATTGTCTCTGGACTCTGCGTAACTTATCAGATGCTGCCACGAAAGTTGATGGACTTGAAGGTTTACTTCAGTCTTTAGTCTCAGTTCTCGCTTCTTCGGACGTAAACGTAGTCACTTGCGCTGCTGGAATATTGTCTAACTTAACATGTAATAACCAACGTAATAAGGTAAATTGCAACATCCTTTTAACTCCTTCTTTTATAATCTTGCCTTTTTCTCTTGTATAGGTTACAGTGTGTCAAGTAGGGGGAGTAGATGCTCTTGTTCGCACCATTGTAAACGCTGGTGACAGAGAGGAGATTACAGAGCCTGCAGTGTGTGCTTTGCGACACCTGACCTCGCGACACGTCGAGGCTGAAATGGCACAGAATGCGGTACGATTGAATTATGGAATTCAAGTAATTGTAAAACTTTTGAATCCTCCTTCACGTTGGCCTCTTGTAAAAGCCGTTATTGGATTAATTAGAAACTTGGCTCTCTGTCCCGCCAATCACGCACCGTTACGTGAACATGGTGCTATACATCACCTTGTGCAGTTGCTCATGAGAGCTTATCAAGATACACAGCGGGTAAGAACACATGACAAGCAAGTTTGCTTTAATTGCTAAAAAACATAAGTTTTGGTTAGTTGTATAATAGTTATTTTTTTTATATTAGAGAGCAAGTGTTGCTAGCGCAGGTAGTCAACAACCAGGAGCTTACGCGGATGGGGTACGAATGGAGGAAATTGTGGAGGGTACTGTAGGTGCTTTGCACATTTTAGCAAAAGAATCGCACAATCGCGCCATCATCAGACAGCAGATGGTTATACCAATATTCGTTCAGTTACTTTTCAATGATATAGAGAATATACAACGGGTTGCAGCTGGTGTATTATGTGAATTAGCAGCCGATAAAGAGGGCGCTGAAATGATAGAACAAGAGGGGGCCACGGCGCCCCTTACCGATCTGCTGCATTCCAGGAATGAAGGTATATTAAATTCTCATAATGATTATCAGAGATACAATTTATATCAGCAAAATCGTAAAATTGGTCATTTTTAAATGAGCAAACTAATTTTACAATCTATCTGTAACAAATGCATACCTAGGAGAATTATAATTTGTAATTCTTTAGGTGTAGCAACGTATGCTGCAGCTGTATTATTCCGTATGAGTGAAGATAAACCTCAAGACTATAAGAAACGTCTCTCAATGGAGTTAACCAATTCCTTATTTAGAGAAGAGAACCTGTGGAATGCAGACCTGGGCATGGGACCAGATTTGCAGGTATGATCAACCATTAATATTTGTTTATTATTTATTGATATGAACCGATATATGTATGTATTAATTTACAAAAGTGTACTGTATTGGAATGATTTTTATTTTGTCATTATTAGATTGCTTTTCTAAGCAATTAATTTGTTTTTCCTTTACGTTTGAGTAAAATCAGCTAGCTGAGCTACTAGTAGTAGGAAAGTATTTTATTTATTTTGTTTTTAAGTTTGGTTTTATTTTGTTTTTTGCATTTTGTCGTGATTAGGACATTTTGAGTCCCGATCAAGCTTACGATGGCATGTATGGCCAGGGACCACCTAGCATTCACAGTAGCCATGGCGGTAGAGCCTATCAACAACAAGGTAAGTAATGTTTGTATTTAGTTTTTTGTTTCCCGGACTTTATGTTAACATTTACTAACTTAGATTCCTAAAAGTTTTCATATAAGGTGAGTATTTTCTTAAGCCTTAATGTGTTGTTTGTTTTTTACATATTTGAATTGTAATTATTATCTCAGTCCCTTTTCAATAATAATCGTAGTCAGAATTATTTTAAGGTTTTATAAAATCCGAAATTTTTGACGTTGTGTTTGCTTTTGAGTTAATATACATGTGATCACTTATAATTTTTGAACACGTTATGGAAGTTTTAAAATTAGTTTTAATTGCAATTTAATTTGTATTGAATTACTGTAAACGGCTTACACCCATATTTTTCTTTAATGAGGTCGACTTTAAGTATATAGAATCGCGACTTACTAGTTTCAAAAGAATTATCTTATAATTAATCAACAGAAGTAGCTTTTTTTTTGTTTTTGGGTGTCGGCATTTTGCATGTATTAAGTTTACTAGTCGTTTTAACAAGTTTTTGTGGAATGTATAATTTTCGTTGAAAAGTGACGGTAAAAATTTAAACGCAATTGCTATTCAGTCCATTTTTTAAACGTGAATTAAATTGTTATTTGATTGGCAATTTAAAAGCAGATTATCTATAAGTGACAATTCTGCGATGTAGGTATTTAGCCGGTAACATTACAATTAATTCCTAGTACATATAAAAACATCCCTATAATGACAATTATAATTAATGTTATATCACCCTTTGTTGCTACATAATTATGAAAAACGTAAACGCACCAGAATTTAATAATTGCACAAAACGTGTGTCGGGATGCAACCTCTTACTTTTTCTTTTTATTTATCTTGTTTAATTGTTTACTCATTTTTGTGAACTATCATAAGTATAAGTATTACATATTTCTTAAAGCTTACGTACATATGCGACATCTCGTAAGTAAAACTCAAAAAAAAAAAAAATGTACTTCGATGCTGTATTTGAGAACATTATAAAGTAATTATTATTTATTTATTTGAATTATACATTTAGAAAAATAGTTTTAGGGAACTGAAGAAAGTAAAAATGTGTTATTAAATCAGAATACTTGTAAGAAAATATTTTCCATATTCATTATGAATTTCAACCAAGTAACAGTAGACTATTTTACCTACATTTATTGAAATTATCGAGTACAAAGATTATAAAGCAAAATCAAATTTAATTGACGATTGGTTATTTGACATGCTTAGGTTGCTTGTACAAAACAAAAGTGGAAATTTAACAGAATTGCCCTGCGTTTAATAATTTATTTGTCTTGTAAACTCAGTTTTTCAAAAAGAAGGTTGCATCCTTGAACTTGTTTATTTTAACAAATTTTCTTACTTTGCATGTGACTTAAACAATGTGTGTGTTTATCTTCATTATTAATTACCAAAATTGTTCATTAGGGTATGACCAGATACCAATAGACATGCAAGGGCTTGACATCGGGTCACCTGGGGGAGGCAATGGTTCAACCTATAGTGCCATAGACGCAATGGAGGTCGGTAGTGCAGAGCCCGATTTAAATTTCGACCCCATGAACGAACTTCCTAATCCACCCCAGGATAACAACCAGGTTGCAGCTTGGTATGACACCGATTTGTAGAATGTGTGTTTTGATCATTCTCATTCATTACCCATCAAATAAACCTTTACACC